TGTATGTATCTATCTATCTATCTATGTATGTATGTATGTATGTATGTATGTATGTATGTATGTGTGTATGTATGTATGTATGTATGTATGTATGTGTATAACGTATCTAACTATCTAACCGTATATATGTATATATATACATACATACTCACATACATACATATAAAGATACGTGTGCACACTCTGGGTTCAAAGACAAATCTCGGTCCATCTCGGTGACGCAAAAGTCAAAGCCACGCATTTCCAACGAAGCAGGGAGGTCAAATGTCACAGAACGGGCAAGGGTCGAGACTTCAACAGATCCTGCGGAGTGTTCTATCGAACGACAGGACTTCCAAGCCGCTTCCCAAGAGCCCCACGGCTGCTATAAAGTACGACTGGGACTATAAAAGCAGGTAAAGTCCTATGAAGCCACTGAACCCTTCACCCCTTGAATCCCTTGAAGCCCTAAACCCTTTAACCCTAAAACGACAGAGTGGCGGCATGTCCACGCCGTGCGAGGACTCGTTCCCACTGGGAAGCAGCCCACCGAAGTTCAGCTTCGCGTAGTCGGCCATGGCCAACATCCTTAGAGTTTAGGGTGTACAGAGTATGTGTACGTACATACATAGAGATCGGTTTTTTCTTTTACTAATTTTGATGTAAGCGTATGTAGGGTATGGGGTTTTATGGTTTCGGGTTTAGTGTTTCGGGTTTGGGATACTGGTTTTAGGGTCCCGGGACACTTCAAGGTACCCTTAATGGAGGCTCTGCAGAGCTTGATGGCGGTGATTGGTACTTGCGGTATATAGGTAGCTTGAGGTTTCATGAAAGATAGGCTGCCCTGCCCCGAGACGGGTAAGTATCCGGGCAGAGCCCCATCAGAAACTCCTTCTCTCTCTCTCTCTCTCTTTCTCTCTCTCTTTCGCTCTCTCTCCAGGAAGACCGGCGGAGACTGGAATCCCGGAAGCCAACTGGACCCGAGCCACCCAAGCTAATTGCAGGATCACTACGTTCAGGACATCGCCCGTGATTCGTCACCAATACCGCCCCTCTCAAACCCTCCTAACCCCCCAGCGTAAACTCCTGACACGACCCGGTTTAAATATCCTACAGCTCTGCTATGCTAAACTGAACTTGACTAACTACCTATAGTCTCCATTGTAGTTCCTTTTTGGGGATACCTTATAGAATCCTTAATATATAGTTGGTTAAACCAAAAAAAGGAACTACAATGGAGACTATAGGTATGCTCCACTATACTTCAAACCTCGACCCTAAGCCCAACCAGGCCCTACCATAATATCCGAGTAGCTTGATCAGGCCTGCACCCCGCTCGCCCATTCCGTCAAAGCGCTCTGAACCAAAGAGCGTGGCCTTAGGGGAGCTTAACGGTTCCGTTATTATGTGCGTGTAATTGCTATATATGTATATATATATATACATATATATATATATATACACATAATTTTAAATCATATCATATATATATATATGTATAATAACATATCATGTACATATATTTATACACAATATGTACATGCCATTTCTGAGGGATAGATGTGGGCGGCATATAATGATTCGTGGTGTGTTTTTGTCACAGTGCAAATTGAATTTCTGTTGTGGGTTTCATGTTGGCTTGAGGGCTTAGCTTAGGGGTGATTGGGGATTCAGGTCATGTGTAAGGGCGTGGCTTGCTCATCGTCTGTCTCATGCATCGGACTTCATGTCCTGAACACGTGAATGCCAAACTTCTGGTGTTGCTCGGGCCATCCGCGTTGAAGGGGGAGAGAAAGCACCACACCTAGGTGATGTAGGGACCTTAATAAATAGAATAGGGTTTTGGGCTCCTTTATATAGTACCATCATATTGAGGAACCCCCCAAATGGTAAACGAAATTATTTAGGCTTCTATATTCACCAACCTAAGGGATCAAGACTTGAGGCTTCGTGCTCCTGGGTTTAGGTGTGTCTTACCTTCCAAAAGACCGAGCGAGAGAGGGAGAGACAGTTAACGAATTCCGGACAATCCTGCAAGGGCGGTTTTGGCTTTCATGAAACCACTTACTAGGTCAGCTTCCCGGGGGAACTAAAGGTTGACCTTTCGGCCTTTTACCGCAAAACAAGCTACTGAAGGCGATGTGCTCTTATGTCTAAGCGTAGTCACTGAGTAGTCGTTGGCACATCTAACCTGCCGGGTCCTCTTCGCCTTGGACTTTCAAGCGCCCCGCTGTCCAAACCCCTCGAGCCTACAACCCCAAACCTAACAACCCCTAAGGGTCCATGTACCTAAATAGTAGAACATTGGTGCCAAAGTACCCATATAGGGACTACATTAAGGCCAAAGTATATACTAGTTGGGTACATGGACCCTTAGGGAACTGCAGGAGAGCTGCTCCGCCCTTCCCGGCCGCGTTGCACAACGGGCAGTCCCCGACCGGCAGGTGATCCTCGTGATACAGTATCAGTCGGTTTTAGTCAAGCTGAGCTACATGTACCAGGACGACGACATCGGTCATCACACCAGCACCAGCGCAAGCAGAACACTAACACGGCAGCAGAAGCACCAGAAACAACACCAACACCAACACCACTACCACCACCAACAACAACAACAACCACCACAACAACACCAACAACACCAACA